GTGTGTGTGTGTGTGTGTGTGTGTGTGTGTGTGTGTGTGTGTGTGTGTGTGTGTGTGTATATATGTGATAGGGAGTTACGCGTAGTAAATCGTAGGTATTATAAGGCTAGTAAATGACGAATTTCCCTTGTTTATTGTTGTCACACTCCTCCCTATTATACACTCCTGATATATATATACGAGTTATTATCTCACTCTCGATACGGATTACGTTAGAAGGTGTGAACTGGCGGCAGTGAATGTACGATGTTGTTTATCGACGGTAAGCATACATGCCTGACATGAAGTAAGCGTGCATATCGCACGCACTCATGCCGTACTTGCTGAAGCAGGCGTGGGCCGCTCGTCGCAGCATCGTCTGCAGCTTCTGACTCACGTCCCACCAGGAGCGCTGCGCCGCTAGCTGCGCCGCCTGTTGGCGCTATAAGGAAACAACAGCGATGAGAGACATCGGCAGACCTTTTGCCTTTATCGCGAACTTTTTTTTTACTTATTCCCTTCCTCAAGCTTAGTACATACCCCATTCTATTCTTCTTTTATTATTTACGCTGTACATGGTATCTTTCCTAGCGTGATTTCACCCACCTTGTGGCTAAAGCTGGGAATGATAGAACTGATCGTCTGCAGAACGTAGACGGGAGGAGCAGCATTGGTGTCGAGCTTGTACCAGGTGTCCAGAAGTTTGACGTCATAGCGCTGCTGCTCCACCAGGGCTGCGCGCATCACCTCAAACTTATCGGCCGGTATCGTACGCGGCAGCGGCCGGTAGCCATATTTGTGCCCCAACAATACCTTTAAACGCCAACGTATCCTATCTATCACGCGTCCAGCATTGGAGCGTGGTTTCACGGCGCCAAAAAGAACGCCTTTTATTTATATAGCCTTATTTATACGCCTATATTTTTTAAATCATATTTGAGTTAATTAAATAATTAGAAAAAAAGACCGAGTTAAAGATGGCAATCGTGATTCAACCGATTAACGAAATTTATAATTCGAAATTATAAATATAATAAGACATAACAATATAATTTGATGGTGGGTAATTAAGATGGATGACAGGCGTTGAAGGAATATTACTCGCCACGAAGTTTGGACCGAGGGAAAGCTGTCGGCAAGTCTGTATCGCCTTCATGCAGATCTCGGTGGTCATGTGATCATCGGTTGCCTCGTCTCTGATTCCCCAGCGCATGTCGATCACCTGCAATGCACGAGCTTGACACAGACACAGCTACCGTTGACTGAGCTGCGATCATCATCTCAGCATTAAAGTGTACAAACACCGGCTCATGATCAAATTTAAAATGTAGGCCTAACTGACGATTACGGGCAGTTGACTGTTGGAACGTGCCACACACACGCGCGCATGCACGCACGCACGCACGCGCGCATGCACGCACGCAAGCACGCACGCACGCACGCACGCACGCACGCACGCACGCACGCACGCACACACACACACACACACAGGGCCTATATTATGTCAGTACATATAAGTAAATATAATTATACTATCTGTGTATTATAAAACGAAAGAAGAAGAGAGAGAAGAAAAGGGGGCGGAGAGAGAACGGGGTGTAATGGAACGTAAACAAACCCGAGAAAATGTGGGTGGAAGAAAATTACCTGGAACTCAAGACCGTGGGTCTCCCGACAATACTGCTTTAGCCGAGGATATACTGTTTCCATGAGTGCATTCCTCTCCACTTGTGTATCTGATAGATTGACTGCATATAATCACTTTGTATCATCGTAATCCTTTCCTAGGATGCCTTTAACTTAATTTTAATGCTTATCCGTTAATGCATGTAACTATACGCGTTCGAGGATATAATTTCTCTTTTAATTACTAAAGAATTCAATTAATAGCTTTCATTGTTGTATACGTAATTCGTAGCCGGTGATTTCTTACCATCCTATTCTTTTCTGGGATGCCGTCAACTTATAAGTTAGTGCAGAATTATATGCATTCGAGTATATAATAGGATTGCCCTTTGAATTACCAAAGAATTTAACAGCTTTCGATGTTGTAATTCGTAGTCGGTGGCTTAATTCTTACCTGTAAAGGTTGAGCTGAGAAACACGCGCACGATGTTAGAGCTAACTGCAGGCAGACACCCCAAGTTATGTCCAGCATACAGCTCCTCCTTCAGTCTCTGCTGATCTGCTTTATGAGTGCTGGATAACTGGCTGGGTTCCCGATCCGACCATTCTTTGTTCATCAGCTTTTGTGACATAGAATCGATATGTTCCTGTCTGTGTTCTAGTGCGGACCCTTCTTTGTTCACCAGCTTTTGTGACATAGAATCTATACGTTTATAGCGAGTTTCTATTTCGGACCACCCTTCTTTCTTTACCAGCTTCTGTGGCGTAGAATCTATACCTTGCTGTCTGCGTTCAAACTCGTCTTGGTTGATTAACTTTTCTGGCACAGAATCTTTGCGTTTATATCTAGTTTCTATTTCTGGCCACCCTTCCTTGTTTGCCAGCTTCCGTGGAACAGAATCTTTGCGTTTCTGCCTGACTTCTAGCGCGGACCCTTCCTTCTTCATCAACGTCTGTGGCATAGAATCTATACGTTCCTGCCTGTGTTCTAGCGCGGACCCTTCTTTGTTCACCAGCTTCTGTGGCATAGCATCTTTTCGTTCCTGCATGGGTTCTGCCGCTGATCCTTCTTTCTTCACCAGCTTCTGTGGCATAGAAGCTATACGTTTTTGTCTGTGTTCACGCGCGGACCCTCCTTTGTTCATCAACTTCTCCGGCACAGAATCCTTGCGTTTATATCTAGTTTCTATTTCTGGCCTCCCTTCCTTGTTTACCAGCTTCCGTGGCACAGAATCTTTGCGTTTCTGTCGGTGTTCTAGTGCGGACCCTTCCTTCTGCACCGACTTCTCTGGCAGAGAATTTTTGCGTTCATAGATGGGTTTCGTTTCTGTGCCTTCCTTCGCCAGCAAGATCTGCGACATAGATTTTTTGCGTTGCTGCATTGTTTGAATCGCTAATCCCTCCGTTATTCACCATAATACGCTGTCGTACCCATAGTATACTCACGCCTTTTTCATCGTCCTGATTTACCTGCGCGTGTGACAGCACCTTGTGCACCTGCTCGTTTTCTACTTTTCGATGCCCTTCTCATTCACCCACTTCTGCATGGTGTGCAATCGACTTTGTCCTAGTGCACCCATCAAGAGCTTTGCCACACGGGCTTCGCTAGTGCTGCAGTATCAGGGTACTTGAGTAGAACCATCAGGCAGCGAGAGCGATTTGACAAGCAACCAATATTTGTTCTGGCGGTAGCCTCTTTACTTGTCGTTATGATATGTGGGAGCACGCACACGTGTTAAACTTGGCGTATGAAAATTTTGTTTATTTAGTTCTCACGAGTCATCAATAAATGAGCATGCACTTGAAAACCACACGTAAGCAGAAATGTTTGCTATGAGTAATCACAGAAGAGTAAAGAAGCAAGTAGTAGTCAAGATTGCTTTCCACAAACCAGTCATCGTTTTACTTAATAAAAGTAAATAACATACAAATAAATTTCATTGCACAAGCTGTTCGAAAGATCAATGTTTCCAGCAAACGTCATGATTCGTTAAAAATTAGTGAGTAAAAAAGGAAGCTGCTGGCAAGACTAAAACAAGTATAAAGAGCACGTGTTTCATACGTTACTACAACAAATAACGTATGCATGTTAACTCTGGGAGGTAAATACATGAGCGAAATTCTCACGCAAAACGTACAAACACTACTCTAATGCTGGGTTTACACTACCGACTTTGTGTTGGCAAACTGGTGAATTGGACCAACTTCTGACAATCGGCAGTGTAAACGCAAAAGTTGCGGGACCAACCGATCGATAGCAACCAGTTGGGAGATTAGAACATGTTCTATTTTCGCCAACTCGGAGTTGCCGAATTGCGAAATTAGTCCAACTCGCCAATTCGCCAACATAAAGTCGGTAGCATAATAAATATATAAACCCAGCTTAACGTGACATTAGGTACACCCCCCCACCTCCCCCACGCGCTGCACTCTCGCGCCGCGCATCACTCGAAGAAAGCGTTATTCGACATTATTCACAGCCGTTTAAATAATTTAGTATTTCCTATCGACGATCAATCACGCCTGCTTCTTTTTTCCGCCGCGTTTCTTCTTCTTGCCCGTCTCCTGTGCGGGGGCGCCACCGGCGGGGGGTCCGGCGGCGAGCGTCAGCTTGTGTTTCAGCTCGAGCAGCAGCTTCACTTCCACGTCGACGACGCATTTCTCCAGCTTCTTACTCTTCGCCTCTCGCACCTTCGCTCCCTGCCAAAGAGAGAATCCACCACGCGCAGTGAGCATGCGTTGTGAGCGTCACAGCACGGAAAAATAGACACAGCGCGATCACGAATAACACGAGTGCCGAGCATATATATAAGCGTTGCCACGACGATGCGTAAAGATATGTGAAAAGATTCAACGCGTAGCAGTATGGTATACGAAGACTCTTTTCTGAGGTTCCGCACAAACAGCTATTAATAACGCAGACCCGCATTTTTGCCAGCAGCTCAATCTGACCAGCATTGGGTAAAGTGCGTTGGTGAGAGTGCCTAGCTAGCAGATAGAAAAATAGAAAAATAAAAATTGAAAACAGATGGAATTCGAACCAACGACCTACAGAAGTAACGGCCGTCGGCGTACGAGCGAGGCTACTGAGCGTCTTTAGAAAAATGTATTATGGATGTGCTATGCATGGATGTGCCTGCGTGATGGATGTGCGTAGGAGTGCCTAGTAAACATATCCTACCGCACCTTTCAGCCGGCTGCGCCTAGCTATGTGCGTCACGACCGCTCGTTCCCCCGCGTGACAGCGCATGACACGTCCATGGGATCACCCCTTCTCAATCTACGCGCGTCACGACCGCTCGCTCTCACCTCGCGCAGTGTGTGACACTGTGTTCCTTGGCACGTCCGTGGGATCACCCCTTCTCAATCTACGCGCGTCACGACCGCTCGCTCCCGCCGCGTGACAGTGTGTGACACTGTGTTCCTTGACACGTCCGTGGATCACCCCTTCTCAATCTACGCGCATCACGACCGCTCGCTCCCACCTCGCGCAGTGTGTGACACTGTGTTCCTTGGCACGTCCGTGGGATCACCCCTTCTCAATCTACGCGCGTCACGACCGCTCGCTCCCACCTCGCGCAGTGTGTGACACTGTGTTCCTTGACACGTCCGTGGGATCGGGAGCGAGCGGTCGTGACGCGCGTAGATTGAGAAGGGGTGATCCCACGGACGTGTCAAGGAACACAGTGTCACACACTGCGCGAGGTGGGAGCGAGCGGTCGTGACGCGCGTAGATTGAGATGGGTTGATCCCACGGACGTGCCAAGGAACACAGTGTCACACACTGCGCGAGGTGGGAGCGAGCGGTCGTGACGCGCGTAGATTGAGATGGGTTTGCGCGAGGTGGGAGCGAGCGGTCGTGACGCGCGTAGATTGAGAGGGTTGATCCCACGGACGTGTCATGCGCTGTCACGCACTGTTACGCAGCGTGTGTGACACTGTGTTCCTTGGCACGTCCGTGGGATCACCCCTTCTCAATCTACGCGCGTCACGACCGCTCGCTCTCACCTCGCGCAGTGTGTGACACTGTGTTCCTTGGCACGTCCGTGGGATCAACCCATCTCAATCTACGCGCG